ATTTAGGAAATATTTAAAAAAGAAAAAAACAAAAGGGGGCTAATAATTCTGACTTCAACTGTATATACTGTGTATGTAACTACTGTATTAATAATGTTTTATAAGTAGTTGTGTGAAAATGTTTGAAATTCTAATACGTTTTTGAAAGACACCCACATCTGTGCTTATATTTTTTTTCAAAAATATGACAACTTTTAAATAAAAATTAATCATGGGGTAATATTTTTATATTATATATATTTTAATATTTAATATCTGCCCTACATGTACATATAATACTATAGTTGTATTTTTTACTAATAATACATTGTTATATTTGTGTGTGTGTGTGTGTGTAGGGGCAGAGGATCGGAGAATGAATGCAGATCTGGAGCATCAGTATCAGCAGAGTCTGGATGGAAAGTTATCAGGGAGGAACAGGAGGCACTGCGGTCTGGGCTTCAGTGAGGTGTGATGCCCATCAATCACATTTTCACTCCTTGGCCTACAGTATATAAAATGATACAGTGGATCTGATTTGTTTGTCCTATTCACAGCCTGATGAAGTAGCTGAGAGTCCGAACGCCGCTGTGTCTGAGACGTCCAACAGTTCAGAAAACCCCCCTGAACAAGTATCAGAAGCACAGAAAGAGGAGAAACCCCCAGCATCAGACACAGAGCTGGAGAAGCAGGAGCCGCACACACACTCAAAGGAGGACAAGAAAAAGACTCTTAAAATGGCATTCGTCAAATCCACATAGATGGCCAAGTCATTTTTATCTGTTGATGCTACAATTTCTTGATTTTTTTTTGTGTAATTCACTGAGTGACAGCACGTTTTTATTTCCTTTAAAACTGAACAAACTGTGCTTTCATTTTTAATGTAGTTCTATCTTTGCCATATTTTTCAGTCTTGTTGAGGACTGTGTGTTCTCTGCAAATGAAAGGCATAGTTTATACAAGAAATGAAAATCCTGTCGCAGTCTGCTCAGCCCTTTGGAGATTTTCAAGAAATTAAGGTACATTCATTTGAATAATTGTCATTTTTTTTGTGTATTGAAAGGTGTGTGAGAATATCAATAAAAAGAACATGTGTTTTGTGATTCTAAAACTAGAAATCTCCATATATTTTAGAAGGAAAATAAACCTTTTAATTGAAGAAATGATTATTTTAAATGATGAACTACAACACTATTATATCTTTTTACTTTTAAAAGCTTAAATACTTTATCCATAATACCATAGGGAAAACAAATCATGTTGAGCTTCTTAAAGAACCTTATTCCTTTATGGCAGGGGTGTCCAAACTCGGTCCTAAAAGGGCCAGTGTCTGGCTGGGTTTAGCTTTAACACACCTGCCAGGAAGTTTCTAGTGTCTAGTAAGAGCTTGATTAGCTGTGTTTAATTAGGGTTGGAGCTAAACTCTCCAGGACACCAGCCCTCCACGACAGAGTTTAGACACCCCTGCTCTATGGCGTGAATTTTTGTTTTAGGAGGAAAATAGTTTTCACCCTAATTTTTGGGTGTATAATAAATCAATCATAAATTGTGCTCCCTCTAGTCCCCCCCACCAGATGTTGGTACATACTATTAGGGCACTAAAACGCAAGGTTTTCTGTTTATTATTATGTTAAATGATGAAAAAACAAGCCAAAATGCATTAGAAAAAGTTTTAATCTAACATAATTTTAACTAGTAACATTTTATCAAACACAAGCCATAAACGGTGTATTGTGTGTTCTTGTGGGGTACAGATTGAATTTACTTATTTACCAACCTTTATTATTCACTGTGGAACCTCAAAAAGCAGTTATTGGGTGTAAAGCAGAGGTGGGTGCCACACTTTTGTCACTTGGCGTTGGTCAGGGGTGCCCGGTGACATACAAAATATAGCTCTAACTAGCATACTAGACACATATTGGCAAGGTTGGCAAATAAACTCTGCAGGACACCGACCCTCCAGGACAAAATTTGGGCAAACTCCTTTAGATGAACCTTTGCATCCTGGAACTCCCTTTCTGTGTATCCATGACCAGCAAGTGGGCTGAATCCAGACACTGATCAAACTCATTTTCTGGAGGGCTGCAGAGTTTAGTTCCAACCCTGCTTCAACACACTTACCTGTAGGTTTCAAACAAGCCTGAAGATCTCAGTTGAATCAGGTTTGTTTAATCAGGCTTAAAGATAAACTGTGTAGAACTGCGGCTTTTTGCAAGTTTAGTTTGCATCTTTGAATGGAAACAAACTAATGTGATTCTCTTCAAGCTCACTGATGGAAGGAATGAGCCTACCAGCTCAATTTTGTTCTTTACCTCCATAAAATATTTGAACCCATTTCCTGTGAGTAATAGTTTACAGCAGGGGTGTCCAAACTTGGTCCTGGAGGGCTGGTGTCCTGCAGATTTTAGCTTTAACTTGTCTCAACACACCTGCATGGATGTTTCTAGAACGTCTAGCAAGAGCTTGATTTGCTAGCCCAGGTGTGTCTGACTAGGGTTGGAACTAAACTTTGCTGGACACTGGCCCTCCAGGACCGAGTGTGGACACTCCTTGTTTACAGTATAGCAAAAAGCATATATTATGGTGATAACTATACATTTCTGCACATTTCCATACATAAGATGTTATTGTTTTTACAAAAGTGGTCTAAATGCACAATGTTGCCCTGAGACAACAAATGAAAAACTAACAGTTTATAGATATTAACAAAAAGTGCATTTTCTCAAGCAAACAACACATATCCATGCACACCACACATATTTTTAATAAAGATATTTAAATTAAAACATATTAAATAGCTAAATCTATCTTAACATTCTGCTAGCGGTGTGCTCAAGCAGGCTCTGGTCCCAAAAATGACACTTTTGCCCCCAGAAGATTCAAACCCACACCCACCTCAAATCTCATTGGTTATGAATTAGACTTTATGGCCTATTATTAGACTTTTTGTGATATTTTGCTTTTAAAAAAAATTTAAAGGGCCAAATCACGGCTTTGTGGGCCCAAAAAAAGAATTGTTGCCTCAGGGCAACACCATGCCATAGCTAGGGCCAGACAAAATCTGCGCACATTTTATGCTATTTCTGCTGTGTATTTTTAAAAAATCTGCGTATTTATGCGGAATGATTTTGGGAATATCATAACTAAAACCCTAATATATGAAATAAAAAATAATACCTTTTGTAGCTTTTATTTGGTGTTTACAAATCAAATTCAATTTGATCCACTTATTTGGTAAACAAAGCAAGTCTCTCATATAATATCTCTAAAAGTAAACATATCTCACAAAATGTATTTTAAATAAATCAAATGAATATTTTCATATTAATCCATAATATTACTGAAATTAATAAAACAACTGAATAAATATACATTTACACACATTCACCCAAGTAATAAACAGAATCAATGATGGGCTAAAAATCTGCAGAAATTCTCCATGCGCAGATTATGTGTGGGCCTAGCCATAGCCACAGCCACAGCCATATCACCCTGCAGCCCAAGACTGGTTACTTACTGAAGCTAAGCATGGCTGAGCCTGGTCAGTACCTGGATGGGAGACCACATGGGATGTCTAGGTTGCTGTTGAAAGTGGTGTTAGTGAGCCCAGCAGGGAGCGCTCAACCTGTGGTCTGTGTGAGTCCTAATGCCCCAGTATAGTGAAGGGGATGCTATACTGTCATTGAGCGCCGTCTTTCAAATAAGATGTTAAACCGAGGTCCTGACTTTCTGTGGTCAATAAAATTTCCATGGTACTTCTCGTAAAGTGCAGGGGTGTGACCCCAAAAGTTCTGGCCAAATTCCCTCTATTGGCCCTTAACCATCATGGCCTCCCAATCATCCCCATCCACCGTATTGGCTCTATAACTGCCTCTCCACTCCACCAATAACTGGTGTTAGGTGAGCGCACTGGTGTTGTTGTTCTGTGGCTACCGCCGCATCATCTGAGTGGATACTGCATACTGGTGGTGGTGTGGAGAGACATCCTTTTTGATTGTGAAGCGCTTTGGGTGTATGGCTATACACAATAAATGCACTATATAAATAAGCACAGTACATTACACATTAGATTACATTACATTGGGGTTAAAGGGATAGTTTACCAAAAATTACAATTTCCACACTCAAGTACTTTTATGAATTTCTTTGTTCTGTTGAACACAAATCAAGATATTTTGAAGAATGGAACACATAGTAGGAACAAAAAATACTGTGAAAGTCAATGTCTGTTTACCCCCCGCAAACGTTTTCATTTTCATTTGTGTTCAACAGACGAATGCAACATTTAGGTGAACTATTCTTTTAAGGAAGTGCTTTTTCAAATATTTTTGTTAAGAAAATTTTAGCAATATAAAAGATGAATAAAGGTGTATGCAGGTTTTAAAAAGATGATAAAAGACATGCAAACTTTATTTTGATTTGAAAATGACTTTAATGACTTAAGGGTGACAGTTTTCATAAAATTTCCTGAATGAAAGATGCGTTTCACATTCAAATCTATATTAAACACTGTTATTATTTTTTAACAATGCCACACAGCAAACAATTGAGTACCTTAAATCAATTTCATGATTCTTTAAATAAAAAAACGGTAATGTATGAAAAGTACATCTGAAAGGGTAGCTGACAAAACATGCAAAAGTAAAATGAATAATAAAAAACATTAAATATGATTAAATTAATTATAAACATTTGATATTAAAATACTTTAAACAGCATTTATATGTATAATATTATATAATATACAACACTGCAAATGATTAAGCACCTTAAGTCATAATTAAATGAAACTGTATGTTTAACAAAAATAACAAAGTGCTAAATTAGAAAGCAACTTCTGATGGCAGAACTGTAAAACTGATAGTGTAGCTGATAAAACATATTAAATGCCACGATAAAATGAATAAAAAAATAAAAAAAAAAACATTGCATATAAAAAGTCCAAAACACCTGAGAACCTGAATGACTGAAGGTGAATTATGAATATCAAAATAATCATTTTTGGGCTAACAGTAAAGCTTCACAAGAATTAACCCTCGGACATGGCTTTGGCTGAAAAACAAAACATGAAAAAATTCTATTAACTTGTCACGATGATTTATTTGTAGAGATGTGAGATGAAATCTGACCTGTGACCTGCCTCCTTTTGATGGAGGCTTCAGTGGCGAGAGCTCGAGGAACACTCATGATCCTCTCCTGCTGTTGAAGAGCCAAATCCAGATCGCTAAAGTCCATCTGCTCTGAAGACCTCATGCTGAAACATCACAACACAACAGTACTACATCTACAAAACACTCATATCTCTTTTCATGCTACTAGTACTTATTTCATCTCTTCCATTATGTACACTGTAAGAAATGCTGGCTTCCAAACAATTCCTTCATGTCATCCCAACACAAATTGGTTTTGTTAACTTCATAATTTTTACAAGTTTAAGTGGATTAAACAAAACTTAGTTGTCCTAAAAAAAAAACTGTAATAATTGAGTAGTTTAAATTCAGTTTAAGTAAACAAGCAACAAAAGTCATTTTTGAGTGTATAAAGTGCATCTGGAAAGTATTCATAGCGCTTCACTTTTTCCGCATTTTTAATGTTAGTCTTATTCCAAAATGGATTAAATTAATTTATTTCCTCAAAATTCTACACACGATAGCCCATAATGACAATGTGAAAAAAGATTTTTTGAAATTGTTTCAAATGTATTACAAATAAAAACGCTGAAAAATCACATGTACATAAGTATTCACAATCTTTACCGTGAAGCTCTAAATGTAGCTCAAGTACATTCTGTTTCCACTGATCATTCTTGAGAGGTTTCAGCAGCTTAATTGAGGTTCACCTGTGGTAAATTCAGTTGATTGAACATGATTTGTAAAGGCATACACCTGTCTATATAAGGTCCCAGGGTTGACAGTGCATGTCAAAGCACAATCCAAGCTTGAAGACAAAAGAGTTGTCTGTAGACCTCCGAGATAGGATTGTCTCGAGGCACAAGACTGGGGAAGGTTACAGAAAACTTTCTGCTGTTCTGAAAGCTTCAATGAGCTGCTTCACAGTGGCTTCAAACATCCGCAAGTGGAAGATGTTTGGAACCACCAGGACTCTTTCTAGAGCTGGCCGGCCATCTGAGTGATCGGGGGAAAGGGCCTTTGTCAGGGAAGTGATCAAGAACCTGATGGTCACTCTGTCAGAGCTACAGTGTTCTTTTGTGGAGAGAAGAGAACCTCACAGAAGGGCAATCATATGTGCAGCAATCCACTGATCAGGCCATGATTCAGCAATGTACAGAGACATCCTGAATATAAACCTGCTTCAGAGTGCTCGTGACCTCAGACTGGGGCGACAGTTCATCTTCCAGCAGGACAATGACCCAAAGCACACCGCCAAAATATCAATAGAGTGGCTTCACAACAACTAGGTGAATGTCCTTGAGTGGCCCAGCCAGAGCCCAGACCTAAATCCTATTGAACATCTCAGAAGAGATCTAAAAATGGCTGTACACCGTCGCTTCCCATCTAATCTGATAGAACTTGAAGAGGTAGTGCAAAGAGGAGTGGACAAAAATTCCCAAAGACAGGTGTGCTAAGCTTGTGGCATCATATTCAAAAAGACTTTGAGGCTGTAATTGCTGCCAAAGCTGCATTAACAAAGTATTGAGCAAAGGCTGTGAATACTTATGTACATGTAATTTTTCGTTTTTTTTTTTTTTTTTTTTTTAATAAATTTACAACAATTAAAAAAATTTTTCTAACATTGTCATTATGGGGTATTGTGTGAAGAATTTTGAGGAAATAAATTAATTTAATACATTTTGGAATAAGGCTGTAACATAAAAATGTGGAAAAAGTGAAGCGCTACGAATACTTTTCGGATGCACTGTACATTAAAAAATGCTAGGTTCCATACAATTGTTTTTTTGTTGGGAAAACTTGAAGGAATTAAGTTAACTTATTATTTGTTACCAATTTAAGTATACTAAACATAAAACAATTAAGTTGTACCAAACAAACTTAAAATTTTATGTGGTTTCAGCTTATTTTAAACAAGTAATCTGAACAAATAAGAAAACATTTTTTGAGTGTACTATACTAATAATTATTTGGTTTTAGTGCTTATTTATTACATAGTTCTCATTTATTAGATATTTATTAATAAACTTATGATGGTGCTGCAAGCAAACATCTTCATCATTTTGACAACATCCAAAAATCTCACAATACATGTAAACACTCAATAGTGCACAACACAGCAAAAATGTGTCAGAAAACATTTATGTTACATTTTAACAAACATGTTGTCAAACCGATTAAGTCTGAATTTGTTAGTGCTTTAATAGCATGTGCCCCTCCAAGTTTGACTATATGCATTATATATCATTTGCTGCTTCAGTCTTAATTTTCTCATACCTGGATTTGGACAGGAGGGTTTTTATCTTTGCTACAGTGCGAGATCGAGTCTCCTTCTCTTCAGGACTCAGGTCTTCATCTGACTCGTCGTCTATGAGTCGCTGTGGAATCCACACTTTCTGTGGTGTTGACAGCTGAGGTTCAACAGAGGACAGAGTGTTTCCCTCAAATTAATGTTATTGACCCAATGGTGCTTTTTCTTCATGTGATTTTATGTAATAAAACAAAACACTTTTTCCCCCCTAAAATCCCGAAAAAGGAATTTAGGTAATTCTACAACAAATTGTATAAAAAATTCTTACACCACAATATAAAAAAACACAGAAACAATCACTGATCACAACATGTGTTTTTAAAGTCTTTTAATTAAGATTTTGTCAGTTTCATGTGCTCTGCTCTGTTAGCATGTTGAGTTTTTAGTTACAAACTTGCGTATTTAGCTTAAAAATGTTAAAGACCATGTAGATGATTTGCTTTGAAAATATAATTATATGCTGGTTGCTTTAAAACTGCATATGCTGTAATGTTTTCTCATTTAAGGTCCTGTAAATTGCTTTGAAAGGTGCATTTTTAAGTCTGTTTGACAATCTTAACTGAAAAATAAAGAGAGGTGGGACACAGAGTAGTGCCTCCCCTTTTTTAAAATCAGCCAATAGCATTTTGTTTTATCACAGGTCTGTCAGTGAGAGTGGTTGAGATCAAGTGAATCAAACGAAAAGCAAATAAGAAGTGTCTTGGAGGGGGTGGGGCATGTTACTAGAGAGCATTTGATTGGTCAAGATTTGATGAGAAACTGAAGTATGAGGTGACGCGAAAACAATCATTGATCCATTTAGGTCAAAAACTGCAAGCTTTAGATGTTTCTATCAGTTTTATAATTAAATTTTTTTTTAACTTGTCACTGTTCGGAGCACACTAGCTAATTTATATCTATACAGACTGAAACTAACATCTAAAAAAATTATTTTAATTTCTTGGGACCTTTAATGAAGGAAACATAAGGCAATCTCCCTCATCTTGTCACTTCTAAGGCTGCTTGTTGAAATTCAAGTGTTTTGGAATGGGCATGGCATAGACAGTGATTATCCAGAGTGGTCTGAATCTTTAGCTCTAGCAAATGCTAGCCTCTGAAACCGTTGACCCTACCTTTAACTGGGATAACTACCTTTACCTTTTCCCATTACAAGCATTTGTTTTAAATGTTGTACTACAAGATGACCTAGATACAGCCAAAGTACATGTGAAAGGCTGCCACTTTTGTTGTTTATTTTGTTATTGAGACATTAATATTAAAACAATTCAAACATATCTCATTATTAATGTATTCTTCCAAATATATTTAATTGATCAATTTTACTTTAAATTGAGCACAAGCAACAAGCTGCTGACTATAGTTCACTTAATGGCTGCTAATGTTTTATTTTTAATCTTTAATAAATTGGATTATTAAGCTATGATTGGATTATTAAAAGGATAGTTCACCCAAAGTGAAATTTCAGTCATCAGTTTTATAATGAGTTTATGTCTTCTGTTAAACACAGAGAAAGATATACTTAAGAATATATAAGATGAATATAACATACAAGATGACCCATTAGCCTACAAAGTGGACATTGTAATGTGCATGCTACTGTGCCACTGTGAGAGCTGGGATATGTTTAGACGTTAATAACCGTGAGGGTTGGAGTCCACTCTCTATTGGACACTGCAGCAAGTACAAACCTCTTCCATAGTATATTTCATAGTATTTTTTGTTCTTATGGATGTCAATGATAGTTTTTTTTTCCACCTTGGTTGTTATTTTGTGTTCAACAGAAGAAATTCATAAAAAATCTAGAACCACTAGAATAAATGCTGAGGAAATGATCATTTTCAGGTGAACTATCCCTTTAAAGGACAGCTGAGAAGGACTGAACAACTTGAATATTTTAGCATTAAAGTTGAATGTTAGCAAATGAGAGTAAATATAAGGGAAGACTATACCTCTCTGGTAATATCAAACTCAAAGTCCAAAGGCTCCAGTTCCAATTCCATAACTGGCCGAGCCCTAACCGTCAACCATTCATCTGATGCCGGCCGATAGGGTTCAACAAACAAGGCCTGTTTGGGTCGCTGCAAATCAATGAGATTTTCCCATCCCTACTAGGGCGAAGATAACAATACACAACATTTAGGCAAAAAATACAACATTGCCTCTGGAAATGAGCCTTGGATTTAAAGCCAAACATAGGCCAGACACAAAGTGACTTGAGGAGGCTAGTCCAAACAAATTTGGAATTTCTTTATGTATTGGAAAATCTCATTTTGGCTGGAGGCATTTGTATGTTTTTGGTTTCCCGTGAGGTCAAAGGAATAGTTCACACAAAAGGAACATTTACTCACCATTCACCATTATGAGTTTATTATTCCTGTTAAACACTAATGGAGAGATTTTGAAGAATGTTGGAAAACCATAGACACTTTCAAAACAAAAACATTCTATTCTTAAAAATATATTCTTCTGTGTCCAAAAAACAAAGAATATCAAACAACTTTAAACAAGTGGAGTGTGAATAAATGGTGACCAGGTTTTCAATTCTGTGTGAACTATCCCTTTAAATCTGTCTGCAGACAAACTGGTGAAGAGAGAGGAAAATAAGAGAAAACAAAAAACATTTCTTACAGGCAACGGACAAATGTGTCACTGTTAAAAATCAAACCCATCACCAAAATGCAACATGCTGTAGATTTTAAAAGTTGAACACATTCAGACATGCACAATAGAGTACTTAACAATTAAACAATCATGCAAAAACCATCCATTCATTCTTTTTTACTTCACACCTTTTCACATTTAGCTCTCCATGTATACACTGCAATAAAAACAAGGCATTTAGACAATTTTTTATTTTATTTGTGTCTTTAGTGCAAACCTCAACATTAGAAAATGAAGAGCATATGAGGTGACTGGTAGAGTACTGCTGTACACAATGTTAGATTTGTCTTACAGTTAGTCTGCTATCACAGCTTTGAAGATGCTAGTTGGTTAAATATGCCATGAAATGTCTTTAAAAGTATTTGTATTTATTTGTTTGTTTATTGATTTATTAGGAAATTAACATTTGAATGAAACCAGAATGCATTCATGTGATCAAAAGTGACAGTACACAATTATTAGAATTTAAATTATTTTTTATTATAAAGACTTTACATTAAAAAATCCTGAAATCAAATGTATCATGAGTTCTACAGTATAAAACATAATTGTAATCAACATTAATAAAAACAATTGTTAACTGAGCACCAAATCAATGATTTCTAAAAATCACGACACCAAAGGCTCTAATTTTTATTGCCATCACAGCAATGTTACAATTTTAATTTATAAATAAATAGAAAACCCCTCTTTTATACTGTAATATTATTTAACAATTATACTGTCCTTTGGACCAAATAAATGCAGCTCTGGTAAATGTGATGCTGGTTTAGGTAGACATATTTTTCTCAGTGTGTCTTATTATTTAAATGTAACGTGAGTTACATATTTTTGTATGTTTTCCCAGAGAAAATATCAAAATAGTAGGATATACACACAGCCTCTCACAGCCTATTCACAGTACTTGTGACCCACCATTATGCATATTTTGTACAGTCCTCTAATCAGTCCATACATTTGTCCTAATTCAACTGTTATGCCTGTGAAGTGGACTTCACAGGATATTCAGTGATTAATCCAGTTTGAATGGAGTTTTTGTTGGATTTAAATGGATTTTTAGTGTATGATATGTGAGTTTAAGTTGTATTTATTTAGAATTATTTATTTATCACAAGTTAGTGTCCTCTGTAGTGTCAGTGCAGGCTTTGTGCAAATCTGCAAAATTGTGAAGTCAAATTTCCCTGTGTTCAGGTAAGGAGCAATGAGAACTGCTACTGTATTCCAATTTGCATACTATTTATCCTAAATAGTATTTGAAAATAGAATTAGTGTGTCCCAAACCATAAGATGTGTCCAAAACCAACTACTCCTTGGGAAGTTAGGCCACAACTACATTTCTAAACAGTCAAAAGTTTACATACATTTCCTTGGTAATTTTTTAGCTTTGCTTTTAAACTGTATAACTTTGGTCAAATGTTTTAAGTATCCTTCCACAAGCTTCTCACAATAGTTTGAAGCAATTGTGGCCCATTCCTCCTGACAGAACTGGTGTAGCTGAGTCAGATTTGTTGGCTGTCTTGCTCGCACAAGATTTTTCAACTCTGCCCACTTAATTTCTATCCCATTGATATCAGGGCTTTGTGATGGCCACTCCAAAACATTCACTCTTTATTTGTAAAGCACATTTTAACTAATTTGTCAGTATACTTAGGGTCATAGACTGTTTGGAAGACCCATTTGTGACCAAGTTTTAATTTCCTGGCTGATGTCTTGAGAAGTTGCTTCAATATTTCTACATAATGTTCTTTCTTCATGGTGCCACCTATGCTGTGAAGTGGACCAGTCCCTCCTGCAGCTAAATGGCCAAACAACATGATGCTGCCGCCCCCATACTTAGTTAGGATGGCGTTCCTAGGCTTGTAAGCTTTGTAACACTGGCCATTATGGCCAAAAAGTTCAATCCTAGTTCCATCAGACCACAGGACGTGTCTCCAAAAAGTAGTCTATATTCCAGTGTAATGTAGCAAATTGTAATCTGGCTTTTTTGTTGATTCTGGCATGTTGATTTTCCCATGTAGCCGGCAGCTAGCTCTCTGTAACTCTCACATGACCGCCCACTGAAGCTTAGCAGGGCTACCACATGGGAAAGCTAGGTTGCTGCCGGAAGTGGTGTTAGTAAGGAAAGCAGTGGGCACCCAACCTGCGGTCTATGAGGGTCCTAATGCCCCAGTATAGTAACAGGGACTTTATACTGCTCAGTGAGCACCTTCTTTCGAATGAGACATTAAACTGTGGTTCTGACTCTCTGTGGTCGTTAAAAATCCCAGGATGTCCTTTGAAAAAGAGTAGGGGTTTAACCCCGGCATCCTGGCCAAATCTGCCCACTGGCCTCTGTCCATCATGGCCTCCTAACCATCCCCATATCATAATTGGACTTATCTCTATGTCTCCTCTCCACCAATCAGCTCTTGTGTGGTGTGCGGTCTGACGCAAAATGGCTGCCATAGCTGGATGAGGAGATTCCCCCCCATTGTGTTAAGTGCTAAAGTGCCCAGAAAAGTGCTATATAAATGTAAGGAATTATCAATTATTATTATTATGTTGTCACACAAGGAAGCAGTGTGTTTAAAGTTTTCCTTAAAAACTATTCTACAGTTGTGCCTTCAATTAACTCAAATGTTGTCAATTAGCCAATCAGAAACTTCCAAAACCTTGACACCATCATCTGAGCCTTTTCAGAGGCATAATAATCTTATTGTATGTAAACTTGACTTTCAAGAAAAGTTATAATAATTTCTCAAAAATCTCTCTCTCATTATTCTGCTATTAAGCATAACAGAAACAAATTTATTAATCCTAACTTACCTAAAAGAGAAAAAGTTTAGTCACATTAACATCTGACTTTTTTTAAATGGTTATGTGCCTTTTTTATACAGTGTATGTAAACTTCTGGTTTCAACTGTAGATAGTAGGGAAGTAAGCTAATTCAGATGCACTGATAGTATATTAAAATATTCTAAAGTTAGTTGGATGGTCAAAAATAAAAAACAAAATTTCATATTTTAATGGCTAATATTGCCAACAATACATTGTGATTTGGACTTGATTCCAATTAGAACTATAAACACAAGTAAAAAGTGTTAAACTACAAACATGGCAGATAAGCATTAGTCAGGGTTAAATGGAGAGGCTTGGGTAAAAATGCTTGAATGAATGTCTCACTTAACTGCAAATATTTATTTAACTTTTTTTTTGCATTATATTTAATCTCAGGTACTTTTATAAAGACGTGTTTGATCATTAACTTCTGAAATCATAATTATGCAAATCTCCTGAGGAGATTTCTCTGCATGAAAGACCCACAAATGTCTATTTAAAGTGCTGTTGCATCTTCGATATTGTGAACACGTAACTAAGCAACAGAACAGTCCATTAATAAGGATGTAGTATGCACCAATGAATGCTCTTTTGTTACACAATCAAAGGTATGTGCTTTTTCTTCACAAAAAGAGTACTTTGTGTCTGAGAATGCAACAGTGTATGGGTGTTTTCCAGTACTGGGTTGGCTTGTGCGAGAAGTTTCGCATTTCACTGCATTCAAATGTTCAAGCTTGGTGAATTTTGACCTGCAAAATCACATCACGTGATTGCATGAGACCAATAGAAAATCAAAACATGACCTCTTTCTACAGACACTTATAATATGGAGCAATCACTCGCTTTCCTAATGTCTAATCATGCTGTTTTATCCTGCTCCTCTTCACTTCCACATATGACCGAATTATGCAAGCACAAAGTCTAGTGTGATCGCAGCATACTTAGGTGAATTGGGACTTCTGATTATCTCTATCAGGTGTGGTAACTAATAACAGAGGTGGGTCACAAGGACAAAAATTAAGAACCACTGATCTTGAGATACAGAGACATGTTCATGGTTTAATCCATGTTTTGTTTTATCAATTGACTGTGATACAAAAATCATGATGTCAGTTTGAAACTAGGGTTAGTAGGTAGGTAGGGTTAGTTGGCAGCTGTTAGGAATGAAACGTTATCCTGATTTATGGAGAAGTGAGTAAACTATGTTCATTTACTTTCAGTGAGACAAAGTATAATAGGCATTAACAGATATTCATATATAGTACTTTTATTACTGCTTTTGTAAAAACTACTTGCTAATTCTTTTCCATTGTCTTTTTGGCACACTGATAGCTGAATGAAAAATGTCTGAATGGTGTTAACCATGCCATGAATGAAAACAACAGGGCAGTGTGAGGAAAAAGATGTGAATTGATTATTGGATTGTTATTTTTTAGGAGGATTAAGTGCTTTCCCAAATGGCAGTCCCCAACAATGATGTGAACAATCATCAATTTAAAGTGATCAAGAGACTTGAAGCAAGCGAGCAACAGAAAACCCTCTTAATGCAGCATGATTTTTAAAAGTGATTTTGAGAAAACCCAAATATCAGGCAGCTCCTGCTGATTACTCTAATTGCAGTCAGTTGAAAGATGTTTGAACGTTTGATTCTGCCAAACACTCTTTAATGTTCCTAATCAAGACACAATGGTCCTACTCAAATGGTTGTTTCCTAGCATTAGCAATGAGCAAATAAAGAAACTGAGTAATTGAGTAAACGCTCTCATGGCCAATCAGAAACTTTACTGCAGTCGTGTTCCAGAAGTAAAACTCCCATTCATTTTTCCATAGCGGAACTAATTTTTAACAGTTGCTAATAAACTGTCAAAATTAGACCTACTCATTATTTCAGTGCTGATTATTTTAATGCATCAAATTACTGATGATTTCCCATAAGGACCAGTAATAACTACATTAGCCATAATTCTGCAACAAATTTAAAAATGAGCAAATTGTGACTAAATACTTTATGTATAGCTCACTCACCCCCATAAAGCACTGTCAGTGATGTAATTGAAACATGCTTAATTTAATATTAGTAAACAACATTTTCCAGATTTATGTCTATGGCAGAAAATCATATATATATATATATATATATATATATATATATATATATATATATATATATATATATATATATTTTTTTTTTTTTTTTTTTTTTACACACAGTTAGGTCCATAATTATTTGGTCGTTGACACAATTTTAACATTTTTTGGCTCTATGCACCAACACAATCAATTTGAAATGAAATGAACAAGATGTGCTTTGACTTTGTGCTTTACCCTAATGATGGTTGTTTGACTGATAGTGACAGCTCTTTGGATCTCATCTTGACAGTTGACAGTAACAGATTCCAAACGCAAATAGCACACTTGGACATCTGGACCTTTTATCTGTTCATTGCAATTGGGATAATGAGGGAATAACACACACCTGGCCATGAAACAGCGTAGAAACCAACTGTCCAATTACTTTTGGACCTTTAACAAGTGGGAGGCACATAAGCAAACTTGTAATTCCTACAGCGTTCACCTGATTTGGATGTAAATACCCTCAAATTAAAGCTGACAGTCTGCAGTTAAAGCACATCCTTTTAATTTCATTTCAGATGGATTGTGATGGTGTATAGAGACAAAAATGTTAGAATTGTGTTGATGTCTAAATATTTAGGGGCCTAAATATATCTGTAGATTAAGAGTTTTGTATTAATCCATCATTATAATTTGACTTTCATTCATAGTGCTTGATGGAACTGTAGTTCTTTTCATCATCAAAGCCATTAAAGGCATAGTTTAAGTGAATCAATTGGTCTGTGCAAAAAACTAAACATTAATAATAACATTATCTATATTTTGATCCACAGCAATGCTATTCATAACATTCTTGCACAGACTAATATTTAGCCTCAAAAGATCTCAATGTATCGTCAGGAACCATTGGTCCTGATTTCGCTTTACCTTATAAGTCTTTGTTGACTCCCAAAATGACTTTTTATGAATCATCAATGTTGCAAATCTTCTTTAATTGCCATTTTGGATGGCTTATAAGACTTTTGCAAAATCTCTAAGTAAAACTGAATAGGAAAAATACTTCCAGAAGCTTCCCAGTTTCATTTTGTTTGTTTGTTTAAAGCAGGATATTCTGACGCTGACATTCAGGTAAGGAAGAAGAGGCACTTCACTGATTTATTCCTCTACATGAGACGATGATTAGGAACGATTGCACACAGAAAAATCTTCATACCCAGCTGATTACCAACAATAGTTAATCTTGTCATAAACACGAGGCAGCAAGGTCAATAATTCCCACCATATTATTACCATTATCCATACAAAATATAACTTTACAAATTATTTCAGAAAATATATTGTGATTATTTAATAAATAATTTAGTCGATTAACATCTGAGAAAACAGCCATAAAAAAAGGTTTCAAATCCATTGTGTGAGAGATCAGAAAGGCAGTCGGGGAAAACAAAAAAAAAGATCCTTTTCTCTTCACATTCGATACATTTTCTCAAGTCCTCAAGTCAGGAGTTCATTGCAGCGCTCCATGTGTCTGTCCAAAATCCCTAAAAAAACACCCACAGTATGGCCCCGTCCCACCTGTTAATGCAACAGAACTGTGCTTTGTTCGTGGGTTAATGTGTGTGTGTTAGCGTATTAGCATTGTGGCTTTATAGTGGAGGGCCATAGCGAGGGTCCCTGTGTTTATTGGGTGGGGGGTAACGTACTGATCCTGGGTCAGAGTTGACCGGTCGAGTGGAGGCGCGGGAGTGGTGGCGTTCACCCTGACTCAGGTTGCGTTTGCGCACTAGCGCTCGTTGGTGTCGCTTCATTCTCTCCAGCTGCTCCTCCACACTCATCCTGACTCTCTGCGGCTGCGACTGCTGCTCCAGCTGAGGCTCTCCTGAACACAGACGCTCCAAGGCACTCTTTGGTCTCTCCTGCCAGTGGGACAGAACAAGAATGAAACAGATATAGACCCATCAGGCACACAACATCACTCATTCATTTTCTTTTCAGCTTAGTCCCTTTATTAATCTGGGGTTGCCACAGCGGAATGAACCAACAACTTTTCAAGCACATGTTTTACGCAGCGGATGCCCTTCCAGCTGCAACCCATCGCTGGGAAACATCCATACACTCATTCACACACATACACTACGGACAATGTACCTTGCCCTATTCATCTGTACCGCATGTCTAAGGACTTGTGGGGGAAACCAGAGCACCCGGAGGAAACCCACGTGAATGCGGGGAGAACATGCAAACTCTACATAGAAATGCCAACTGACCCAGCCAAGGCTCGAACCAGCGACCTTCTTGCTGTGAGGCGAGAGTGCTAACCACCGTGCCACCGCGTCTTCGCACATAACATCAAAAAATGTTAATATTAGGTTAGATTTAGGTTGTGAAGTTACCAAAATTCAATGTTTAGTCAGCGTCGTTATCCAGTAACGATGTCAACTTACATTGATATTTGGTTGATTTTAGGATTTGTTGGAAAGTGACCAAAATCCAACGTCTGATAGATGACATAGTGATGGCTACCACACAACATCAAGATTTAACATGATTAGATATTGAAATTTGGTTAATTTTAGGCTGATTTTCGGTTTGATGTTGGACACTAACATCGGCCTGACGTTGGATTCTGACGTCAACCCGATTTTCATTTCCAAACAAAATCCAACTTCCCCACATCGTTGGGGTGCATTGGGATACAATGTCAATATGACGTATTGTCGACATCCTGTGCCAAGATAGTAGTCAACAATCCAGCAAGCTAACTTATATATTGATTTCAGGGACCTTAAAAAGTAAATAAATAAAAAGAACAAATTGTGATATATAAGGCATCAAATACCAATAAAATTAATCTGACAAATTATATAAAAAATATTTTTAAAAATCAATAAAAAAGTACATTATTTATAACTGCATTACAAAATGTATAGATGCACACCTTATATCAAAACAATGCATTTTTGTAATATTTTAAATAGTCTGGATATGACCATGTTATAATACAAAAGAATAAGAATCAGTGTTGGGTAGGTTACTTAAAAAAATGAATCGATTACAAATGACTGATTACTACTGGAAAAATGTTATCTGATTACTTTAGTAATTATTTCATGTAAAAATTAATCAGATAACTAATTACTTTACTTTACTTTGAATTGACTTTAAAAACATGTAAAAAATACAAAATACACTGCAGCTCATTCAGTAATATTGACTGAACAACATTAACAGAGCAGCTTGACAAATTCAAAAGATTGAAAGAGTTCGCCCAAACCTTTAAATTCTCTCATCATTTGCTTAATCTTCACGTGTTCCAAACCTGTTTGTCTTTTTTGTTTTTAGTTCTTTTAAACACAAAAGAAGACATTTTGAAGAAAACTGGATACTGCTGACATTCATAGCAGAAAAAACACATATCTGAGGACTGCGGTTGTGGAGACAAACTGTAAACGCTCAAATGTTGAATACGTGAAATCTGGAATACATAAGCTGCGTGCCTCTGTAAATAACAAACGTGTGTGTGTGCAAAAGATGCAATGTGTGAATGGTCCCATAAACAGCTAAGCTTCTCTTTACATTTTCATAAGTGACTTTTACTTCTGATCCTGCACAAAAATTCAATTTAGCTTGTTTGGGCTGAGTTGGGCTGCTGTGTTTTGGGGCACAGGTGTCCTCCTTGGAGACACGCATTGTCATATAATGCTTTCTGTTCAAGTGCCTGAACAAGTTAGTAGTTGAGTTAAAAGCAGTCGAAAGTTCCTTAGAGACTGGACATAAACTGCATTTCACAGTAATATTTTTGTGTTTACGGTCAATGAAATCAAATGTCTGTATTTCCACTTAAAGAAGCAACTACTCTCATCAGCAGCTATTCCAGCTCGATTTCAGCTTGCATTCTCCAGCAATGTTCAGTAACTGACATTGCAGCGGAAAACGTTATTTTAAAAAAAGCAAATATTGTTTTCTGAAAACTATATTTATAACGTAAGTAACGCAATTACACTGACTTTAATAACTGTAATCAAATTACATGAATTTAAAATGTAATTTGTTAAGTTACTGCGTTCCCAAAAATGTTATTAGAATACAGTAACGTGTTACTTTGGAATGCGTTACACCCAACTTTGATAATAATATAGTGAATAACATTATAATAAATAATGGATGAATGTGAGATCAGATTTCTGTTGAGAACTGGCTGCAGTCAGACTCCTTGTGCAAACAAATATAACATTGAATTAATGTAAACCCATATTTAGTACAGACACAGTACAGCAAAAATTGAAATAACTGACTTAAAACAGTTTTTATAACTAAAAATAATAGTACTATAATAATTTTGTACACATACACAAGATAATAGGGCTGGGTAATTAACTGAAGTCAATTTTCATTCGCATTTTTTCAATATAGCCGGTTCTAACTGCAGCATTTACCACACATTATATAAGTTACTCAAAATAAAGTTTAAAATGTATATAAATTTAATCAAATTATAATAAAATCAAGAAAATCATTGTTATAATGCTTCCCAAGTAAAGGCTCTGTGTAGTAAATGCTGCAGGAAAAAAAGCACATTTAATACAATTTTACTCCAACCTCACTTTATAACTTCTGTCGAATGTTTGAAATAAATCCTTCTTTGAGGTGATTCTGTAGTTGTGTGTTTATTTTCTGTTTAAAATGCTATTTCCTGGATTTCTTCTTCATTGGTTTATGAAGTTTCTGCATGTGAGAACGCCCTCTGGCATTTGGAAGAGCTTTACTACTGAACACACAACTCTGCTTCTCTGACAAGATGTGCATGACAATCACAGGTATCAATAGCATTTGTGATTTCATTTTGATTAATCATCCAGCCCTACAAAATAAAACAATTCCTAATAATTGAATTAGTAAATGCAGTTTAGTCCAAAGAGATATGGTACTTGCCATTGTGGATAACTCTAAATCTCTCCTCAGGGAGCAGGAAGCCACTCCATACTGATTAATTCTGGATGAGGAACCTGACAGACCTACGGCAACACAGAGACATAGTATTTTACCAGATACATTGGCAAAAGAAATGGTTAACTAAGCTATAATAATGTCTGACCTCTTCTTTGGAGAGTCAGGTAGCCAGGGTCCACATGATCTGCTCCATGAGCACTTACAGGAAGCTCTGGTTCACTCAGGTACGAGCGCAGTTCCAGCTGAACAACAATGAATTACAATACAAAGTACAAAACTCAAATATCATGCTCCATAACTGCAGGTGTTAAATATCCGGCAAATATTATTTAAATATGCTTGGCGATTTCAGTCTAGTTTAATAGCAGTTATTTTAGTATTATTCATGTTATTATAGTATTTAAACAATATTCTGTTTATTTAATTTTTAGACAAATTAAGGTTCTTGGGCTTTACAATTTATTTTAAATAAAAATTCAGTACATTTATTGGTTACTCCTTATTTTAATAATAATTCTCACCATTAACTAAGACTTTTAACTCAATATACTAATGTGCTTCTTATATATAGTTATTGAGATAGTAGTTGGGTTTAGAATAAGATCATTCTATAGCTACACTCACTGGCTACTTTATTAGGTACACATTGCGAGTATAGGGTTGGGCCCCTTTTTGCCTTCAGAACTGCCTTAATCCTTCATGGCAAAGATTCAACAAGGTACTGGAAATATTTCTCAGAGATGTTGGTCCATATTGCCTTAATAGCATCACACAGTTGCTGCAAATTTGTCGACTGAGCATCCATGATGCAAATCTCCCATTCCACCAAAGGTGCTCTATTGTATTCAGATCTGGTGACTATGGAGGTCATTTGAGTAAAGTGAACTCATTGTCATGTTCAAGAAATCAGTCTGAAATGATTTGCGCTTTATGACATGGCACACTATCCTGCTAAAATAAGTAAGCAACAGAAGATGGGTACTCTGTGGTCATAAAGGGATGGACATGGTCAGCAACAATACTCAGGCAGGCTGTGGCGTTGACATGATGCTCAATTGGTATTAATGGGACCAAAGTATGCCAAGAAAATATCCCCCACAACATTACACCACTACCCATCCTTTCATGTTGTTGATGACAAATTCTTACCAATGTCGTAGCAGAAATCGAGACTCATAAGACCAGACAACGATTATCCAATCTTCTATTGTGCAATTTTGGTGAGCCTGTGCAAATTGTAGCCTCAGTTTCTTGTTCTTAGCTGACAGGAGTGGCAGCCGGTGTGGTCTTCTGCTGCTGTAGCCCATCCACCTCAAGGTTTGAAGTGTTGTGCATTCAGAGATGCTCTTCTGCATACCTTGGTTGTAACATGTGGTTATTTAAGTTACTGTTGCCTTTCTTTCAGCTCGAACCAGTCTAGCCATTCTCCTCTGACACCAACAAGGCATTTGCGCCCACAGAACTGCCGCTAACTGGATACTTTCTCTTTTTCTGACCATTTTCTGTGTACCCTAATGATGGTTGAGCGTGAAAATCTCAGTAGATCAGCAGTTTCTGAAATACTCAAACCAGCCAGTCAGGCACCAACAACCATGCCACTTTCAAAGTCTCTTAAATCACCTTTCTTCCGCATTCTGATGCTTGGTTTGAACTGCAGCACATTGTCTTGACCATGTCTACATGTCTAAACGCATTGAGTTGCTGCCATGTGATTGGCTGGTTAGAAATTTGAGTTAATAAGCAGTTGGACAGGTGTACCTAATAAAATGGCCAGTGAGTGTACATTATAAGTACATAAACAGCCAATATCTTAATAAAAGACAGGCTATAAACCACTAGCTAATAGTAAGAATTTGTACTTAAACTGAAGTGTTACCAGTTTATTACTGCAGCCAGTCAGCTACAGTAGCTGTTAGTTGTAATAATCTCAACACAATGGACTTGAAATTACCCTGTAATCTCCATTACTGTAGCTGCTTTCGCGATCCCGCTTCCTCTCATCTGACTGTCGTTTGAGGCCTCGCACTGAAGTGTGTCTGATGACCGATGTCTCTTTAGGAAGGGGCGGGACAACTGGCGGTGTGTCCTCATCATACAGGAGGGGCAAAGGTGGTCTGGGCGGAGCATCATCCTCTTCCTGAAAACATAACATTACACAATCAAGAAAACCTTTTTAAGGCACCCTGTTTTTTTTTATTTATTTTATGTTAAGTATTTCTGCATGTGTCTACTGTGTTTTTTTAAATTATGGGTTTTACTTCCTATTTGGGAAACTTCTATTCAAAAGAACTGAAGCAAATGATTTTAAATGAGGTTGTTCTATAAATAATCCATTTGCATCATAGGTCTCAAACTGGATTCCTGGAGGGCCGCAGCTCTGCACAGTTCTGCTCCAATCTTAATCAAACACAGCTGATTCAAATAATCAAGGTGTTTAAGACTACTATAGACTATTAAGCAAGTGTGGGTTGGAGGTGGTAGGAACTAAACAGAGCTGCGGCCTTCCAGGAATTTGAGACTATTGCTTGACATAGTGGAAACTGAGCGAGAGGTACATTTGGCTTCATGTTTTATTTTGATCTGTCATGAAATTAACGTTATGTATGGTATTTTAACAGGACATTAGTACCACAAGCATATCTTTGGCTAAAGCTCTTTGATTTCACTGTTTGTTCCCTGCAGTACAGTAATAGTCAATACATGTCTGTAAATATTGCTGCAGAAAGACTTGTTTATTGAGTCTTAAGGTTATTCATGGTTTTTATAAAAGTAATTTGCTCATTCTTATCTCAATTTGATTGATGGACTGTGAGGAGAATAACCCCAACTTATTGTACAGTTTTGTTTAAACACTTGACTGATTTGTTACAGTTGATAATGAAGTTACTTCTATAATTAGCACACAGAATCATTGTGCGGAGAGAAAAATGCAGATATGCATAGTAATATGCTTAATATGTTTTCAACAACAAACTTTTAAACAAAGAACTTAAAGCCATAATACGATTACATTTTTTTCCCCAGATTTTGGCAAAAATAGCTTGATGTAAGGATTTGCAGGGATTTGTAAACGACATCAGGAACCAAAGTTTAATCTGTGCTACAAGGTGTACTTGAAATAGAAGTAAGCTTTGTAGAGTTGTGCTAACAGTATTCTTGCCTGTATTTTAAAATGTGTATTCTTTTCTCAAATATTTCCCAAGTGATGTTTAACAGAGCAAGGATATGTTCACAGTATTTCCTATAATATTGTTTCTTCTGGGGAAACTCTTATTTTCTTTAGTTTGGTTGGAATAAAAGCAGTTTATTATATATATATATATATTAAGGGTGTCACGATCCTCTCAAATTCACATAATTACCACCTGTCAATCATTTTTTCTGCGAGACTCGTGAATAGGCAGTGATCTGTGTCGTTATAATGGCGTCTGTTAAAAAGAGGCACAACCAACAGGAACCAGCCAACAGTATCTGAGGTGTTCGCTAAAATGACTAAGTACGAGTGAGTGAAAGATTGAAGCAGCCCTCTGACTGCCTGGACCTGCTGTCTGGACAGCATGGCTGTGTGCATCTGTGTCTGTGTGGTCACGTGATGTGCATTTTCAGAGGTAGAGAGGAAGGAGGGCTGCTCAGAAATGCTACACGCCACTGTGAATGTCAAATCGTTGTCGTTCTAAAATGCCATTTAAAAACAAAGACAGTGTAAACAGAGCCTGAGTGTGTACTTTTCACGAGCGGATTTGCAACGGGGGCGGGCGGAGGATCGCGATGCCGGTGTTGTCTAGCGGACGAACCGTACGTAATACGTACATAGCAGAGCTTGCAAAACTGTGTTTTTTTTTGTCGACAACACGAACGTTGTCAACATAACTCACTGGAAATCCAAAATGCTTACACACCGGCGACTTCATTGAAAGAGGAGAGGGTTTAAGTTCTGTCGACGGGTCTCCTGCTTCTGCAGTTTAACAAGCACTTCAACAAGCCTGTTTTTTTTCCCGCTTGGCAAGCCAAGCTGACGTGACATGGGGGCGTGGCAGCATCGACAATTCTATTTTTTGATTCAATAATCGAAATTGAGCATATATTTCGATCGATTTCGATTAAAAATCAAAATCGTGACACCCCTAATATATATATATATATATATATATATATATATATATATATATATATATATATATATATTTTTTTTTTTTTTTTTCTATTTGCTACAGAGCAAACCACTGTTTGTCAGCACTTTAAACTGTATATTAGTGTTTATAAGACAACAAATAGTTATTAGAATAGAATTAGTAAAACTATTGTTTAAAACACATCTGTTTAGCTGTGCCTTTACTGAATGAGCACGGTGCTATGTCCGACAGATCACATCATTATGTCTTTCTTTTCTTTTACATTCTTTTATAACCTGTTTTAACATATTTTAATGTTTTTATCTCTTTTATTCTTTGTTTTATTTTTTCATACTTGTCTTTTTTATTTTTGTTAATGTAAAGCATTTTAAATTGCCACTGTGTATGAAATATATATATCTCCATTAAACAACTCTTAGGAAATGTTTTTTAAATAATTAAAATTCCACAGGAGGGCTGATAATTTTGACTTCAACTGTATATATACAGTATATATGTGTAAATATGTGGTATCCACAACATGTACCATTTTATTTAGACAAAATTCCATAATCTGACACAGTGACTTTTAATAGAAATCGTGCAATGTGAACAGTGCTTTAGGATGCAGTTATTTCAGGAACTGCTGCAGCACAGCGGATCTTACCCAATTTGGAACAGGATGCCGGTTCCGCAGGTCTTCATTGTCCAACGGCAGTGGTAGTGGACTGGAGGTCAGGCTGCGTTGGGGTGACCGCACCTCAGCTGCGGATGGGGTCATGCACCGAGAAGGCACTGTCGACTCGATCACTGAAGGCACAAGTTTTCTCTCTGGATGCAATTAAACAGAAGCAGGCAAGGCTTATATAGCAATGTTGTATTTAATGTTGTATTTAATGCTGTCTATCTAGTGCAGGGGTGTCCAAACTCGGTCCTAGAAGGGTGGTGTCCTGCATAGTTTAGCTCCAACCTAAACACACCTGCCTGAAAGTTTCTAGTATACCTAGAAAGAGCTTTATTAGCTGCTTCAGGTGTGTTTAACTGAGGTTGGAACTAAACTTTGCAGGATTTGGGCCTTCCAAGACCGGGTTTGGACACCAATGATCTAGTGTCATTTTACCTGGGTTCTTGACTGAGTCTACTGTGATTTTGAAGGTTTCTTTGGTGGAGCTGAGTCCAGTCATCACGTCCTCGATCCTCCAGAGCTCTCTCTTTAACTGATTTTTCTCCTACGAACACAGACAATCAAATTTAAAAGCATTTACAAATACTTAACCATAGCATACTTGAAATTAAATGAACATTAAAAGAAATTAAATATTCTGGAGGGGTAACGGTGGTGCAGTGGGTAGGACAATTGCCTCACAGCTAGAAGGTCACTGGTTCGAGCCTCAGCTGTGGAGTTTGCATGTTCTCCCCATGTTCGTGTGGGTTTTCTCCTGATGTTCCGTTTTTCCCCACAAGTCCAAAGGCATGTGGTACAGGTAATTTGGGTAAGCTAAAATTGTCCGTAGTGTATGTGTTTGAATGACTGTGTTTCCCAGTGATGGGTTGCAGCTAGAAAGGCATCCACTATGTAAAACATATGCTGGATAAGTTGGATGTTCATTCCACTGTGGCAACCCCAGATTATTAAAGGAATTAAGCCGAAAAGAAAATGAATGAATGAATGAATGAATGAATGAATGAACTATTCTGGAAAAGTTGTGGAAGTTGTGATAATCTTGGTTGTGAATGATCTATACAGTATCTGTGTAAATCAAACAAGCAAATGTAGAGCAGGATTTGATTTTCAGAAATCAAGAACTGATTTGATCTTTTCTGTTTGTCGTTGCTACTTGCTACAATTGTGTCATCACAGATGTCAGGAAAAAAAGTGAGGAGAAGTTACAAATTATGAGTACAAATAGCTTGTGAATTGTTTCAAGGCAACATTTCTAAAGTTTCTTTCATTTAAACTGAAGTACCAAAGTGACTAAAACTAAATAATGTAATGAAAAGATGAACACTTTTTTTTAAACAATAAAGAGGTAAAAACAAAAATGATTAAAAAAATTTACAAATGAAATTAACATATAATATTATACTATACTACTATACACTATATTCATTCAGTCAGTCAGTCAGTCAGTCAGTCAGTCAGTCATTCATTCTTTCAATCTGTCATTTTATTTTTGGCTTAGTCCTATTATTAATCTGCAAGCCCCAGCCCAATGAACCGCCAACTTATCCAGCACATGTTTTATGCAGCAGATGTCCTTCCAATTGCAACCCATCACTGGGAAACACCCATACACACTCATTCACACACATACACTACGGGCAATTTTATCTTACCCAATTCACCTGTACCGCATGTCTTTGGATTTGTAGGGGAAACCGGAGCACCCAGAGGAAACCTACGCGAACAAGGGGAGAACATGCAAACTCCACACAGAAATGTCAACTGACGCAACCGAGGCTTGAACCAGTGATCTTCTTGCTGTGAAGTGACAGCACTACCTACTGCACCACCGTGTAGCCTATGCACTATATTATATACTATAATAGCATCTATATTATACGCTATAATATAATATCAATGACACTACATTGAACCAATTCTAGCTAATTGTGACCAAATATTAACATTCATTGATTCATTTTCCTTTGGCTTAGTCCCTTATGTAGCAGTGGTCACCACAGCGGAATTAACCGCCAACTATTCCAGCATATGTTTTATGCAGAAGATGCCCTTCCAGTCGCAACCCAGTACTGAGAAACACCTATACACACATGCATTTACACACTCATACACTACGGCCAATTTTGTTTACCAATTCACATATAGCGCATGTCTTTGGATATTGGGGGAAACCGGAGCACCGGGAGGAAACCCACGCAAACACAGGGAGAACATGCAAACTTTATACATAAATGCCAAATGGCTCAGTCAGGACTCGAAGCAGCGAACTTTTTGCTGTGAAGCAACAGTGCTAACAACTGTGTCACTTTGTATTGAATCATTAAAAAAAATCTAATTAAACAACTAATCAAATAAAAGGGATAATGAAAAAAATGAGTAATAAATACAAAGAAAGACCTGAGGTGATGTGCAGAGAGTCATCTGAGTCTGCAGGACGTCCCTCAGCTGCTCCACTGACTGCTCCATTCTGCTGTAGTCATCCCACGCTCTCTCCATCTCCTGAACAATTGATATTCACAATTAAAGAGTTATCCACACCAATAAAACATTCACTGACAAATAAAAATGATACGTTTTATTATGGTACAGTATATAGTTATATGTGACATTGGACCACAAAACCAGTCACAATTGTCAACTGTTTTGCCATTCAATTCATGTATCCCTTATTATGAGGGGACAATATTTGGCTGAGAAACAGATATTTGAAAATCTAAGGGATCAAAAAATTCTAAATACTTGGAAAAGTTGTCTAAATTAAGTGCTTAGAAATGCATTTTACTAATCAAAAATCTAAAGGTTTGATCTATGTTTTGAAATTTACACTGTCTTCATGAAAGATCTTTACTTAATATTCTAACAAGTTTTAGCATAAAAGAAAAAAAAGGATCATTTTGACTTATACAATGCTTTATTTTATGGCCATTGTTAAAAACAAAACTGTACAATATTGTGGTCCAGAGTCACATATTAATTGTTAACCAGTATTTCAGAGAACTCATAAAATAAGAATTTATTTAAATGGGGTATATGCACACACAGCAGTGTTTTTTTTTTAAATATCAATTTCATAGGGTTCCTTTTACAGCATCAATCTTGTGATGTAATTAAAATACATTCAGTTAAACAGACTTAAGCATTCATTTAGTTGTTCAATTGTTAACTAGATGAAAGAACAAATAAACGCAAGCGCAAAAACTCTATTAAAAATATTGGGGTAAAATTAATTTTAAAGACATGGCATTGAAAAATGGAATTTAATGCAGTGCTTCTTGTCCGGTCTGACACCCACTTTTTATCATGCATCTATCAGGCAGAGAAGATCACTGATTTTTAAAGAAATCTGATTTTAAACTTGACGAGTTTATAATGACGTGACATTTTGCCAGAAGCAATTTGGCTGACTCACTGAAAATTACAAATTTGTGTGCATATATACACCATTATACATTAATATTAGGATAAAAAATCAGCACTGATTTTTAAAAAAAATTATTTTATAGCAAATCACCGTAAGCCCTCTGATTTTTTTTGATTTTTTTATTTCCCAAATGATGATTAACAGAGCAAGGAAATTTCACAGTATATCTGATAATATTTTTTCTTCTGGAGAAAGTCTTATTTGTTCTATTTCAGCAAGAATAAAAACAGTTTTTAATTTTTTAAACACCATTCTAAGGACAAATTTATTAGCCCCTTTAAGCTAATTTTTTTTGATAGTCTACAGAACAAACTATCGCTATACAATAACTTGCCTAATTACACTAACCTGACTAGTTAACCCAATTAACCTAGTTAAGCCTTTAAATGTCACTTTAAGCTGTATAGAAGTGTCTTGAAAAAATTCTAGTACAATATTATTTACTGCCATCATGGCAAAGATAAAATAAATCAGTTATTAGAAATGAGTTATTAAAATATTATGTTTAGAAATGTGTTGAAAAAATAAACAGGGGAGCTAATAATTCTGACTTCAACTGTACTGATTTCAAACAAATACATCAGATAAACACACACCGTTGATACTCTAGAAATGTCTGCTCTAATATGCACCAGGTCCTCCTGAAGAAGTCTCTGCTGATAGGCAATCTTGTCAGTGTGAGATGGCTGATCCTTATACTGCTCCATCTGCTGGTGAGACACGTCCAGAACAGACTCAAGCTTGTCCTGGAAATGAAAAAATAAAACATAAAATAAATAAATAAAAACACACACTGACACACACACCTACAGTATCATACTAAGACCAAAACAAATGCTGTACAGGTCTTGCCTCACCTTATCATCCTTTAGTCCACTGAGTCTGAACTCAAGCTCTTGTAGTATTTTATCCTGTTCACACAATCGACTCAGTGTCACCTTCAACAAAAACATCATATTATGAACCAGAAATTGGTCATTTTGTACATAGCTACACAAGATATAGTGGCTTCCGCAATTATTGGCACCCCTATTAATTAATATGAGGACAATATTTTGGATTTATATTCCCATTGATATGTAACATTTTTTAATTTTTTTTATAAGTGGATGACAAGGAACAGAATACTACATATGAGGATCCACATTGAACAAAAAAAGTCTGCTCTTACCCAAAAACAGTTTTTTTTGTTAATAATTTAAGAGAAAAAGAACAAAAGACATTTTTGCTCATATTTATTAACGGTGCCAATTATAATGCAAGGCCCTTATGTGATTTACACTATTTATACTCAATTTATACTCACGTCTACATCACTTTCTGCCACCTTCACAGGCTTTGCTGGCCGTCCTTTCAGAGCCTCCGTCCCACTCACCTAATAAACAGTTTAAAAATGCTATGTTGTTTTAATGCTCCACACAATGAACACATCTCTATTAAACACAAGCCAAGCAAAACCAACACTGTACAATGGGCACTGTATTGAAAGCCACTGTGAAGCTTTGAGACACTTTTCTTCATTTCTGAAGCACACATGTTGGAGCTGAAGCTTTCTGGAAGCACAATGGCAGAATGGTGTTTCACGAACACAGCTGTGGGACAGAAATGTGATGTCTAAAAAAAAGCCACTCGAGAAAAACGCTGCATGGATAACTCATAAAAGAAACCCAAGCTCTGGACAGCAAAGAATTGGATTTAAAATAGAAATGCAACAACATGACTGCATTTTCCAGTAGCAAAATAACAAACAAAAACAAAACTTGAATGTTTCTCTCTCATAAAGTGCAGATATGTATTTACTTATGTTGATTCATTTAAATGAATCTTTAGTTGATATTTTTGTAAATTTATTACATTTCGTTGATACATTCATCAAAGCCACATTTATTTGATATATTACAAAGCTACACTGAAAATGCTAATATTGTTAAATATTACTGAACATTTTGGCATAATGTAGAATGTAATATATATTCCTCTTTGCTCCAGTCTTCAGAAATAATTAGAACATAGTGATTTCTTCCTTAGTAAACATTTATTGCTATTAACAGTCAGTACCTGGAAGGGAGACCATATGGGAAAGCTATGGTTACGGCCGAAAGTGCTCTTAGTGAGGCCAACAGAGGGGGCTCAACCTGTGGTTTGTGTGACTCTATACTGAAGAGGACTCTATACTGCTTAGTAAACGCCGTCTTTCAGATGAGATGTTTAACTAAGGTCCTGACTTTCTGTGGTCGTTAAGCTCCCGGGATGTCCTTTGAAAAATTAAGAGTAGGGGTTTAAACCTGGCATCCTGGCCAAATTTGCCCACTGGCCTCTGTTCATCATGGCCCCCCTTATCATAATTGGCTTCATCACTCTGTCTCCTCTCCACCAATCATCTAAGTGGATGCTGCACACTGGTATTGATAAGGAGATCCTCCCCATTGTGTAAAGCGCTTTGAGTGTCTAGAACAGTGCTATAGAAATGTACAGAATTATCATCATCATCATCATCATCATTATTATTATTATTATTATTATTATTATTATTATAAACAGTTGTGTTGCTTAATTTATTAAGAATTATGCTTTTTAAGCTGTTCAAAGTTTACAAAAGAACACTTTTTATTAGAAAACCTAGGTCATTTGAATTATTATTCATTAATTTATTTACCATCCCTTTTTACAAATCTACCCCAACATTGCTGAATTAGATATTAATTTTAAATATATGATTTTAATGGCAGTGAACAGAAAGTAAATTGTTGTTTCTATATTAGCCTAATTTGTTTGATTTTGCTGCCTAAAAATATTTCTATTTTAGCTACTGTACAATTCATTATCTGAAATATATAATAAAAATATACAATATATAATAAAAATTGCCCCCTTACTTTCGTTGTAATTAGAATTTGTGAGTAGCATGTAGTGAAGCTAGTAAGTTGTTAAGAGAATAGTTTCACAAAGTATTAAAGGAATGCTTACATGTGCTTACAGAGTTAAACAATATTCACATGGATCTGTGAAAATGACTAAATAAGTTTAATTGCACAATCCCAGCCAGTAGGTGGCGATGTTATTTTGTCAAGAAACACCACAAGTCTGCACAAATTCTGTATTCCTAATTTGGAGTACATTTGGACAGCAAAGAGGATAACTGCAAATTGTTTAAACAAACCGTAATTACTGTTAATTAAGCAAACAGCTCCTCAATTGACTGTCTTTAAAAAGGAGTTTGCCATCTGTAGAAGCTTTAAAACTAATGACTGGTGAGAAAGCTAAACAATTGTATGATTTGTTTTAAAAAATATGGTTGTATTTAACTCCTTACAAAGATTCTGTTTGATGTCTGCACAGTATGTTGGTCTTTTTTGTTAAGTTATTTTATAAATTGTGTTTGTTGGTTGGTTTTGTGTAATTTTATGGTTTTATTTTGATTTCCTGTATATCTGACATGTCTCAGTCAGTCTATGCAAGATTATGTTTGGATTGAGTTTGGCCCAAATTGTTATGTTTTTGAAAGGCAAAAAATAAATAAATAATCCTCCATTGTTATTTTCATAGTCAAATAGTGCATGCCTTAAAACTGAACATGTGATATACATGCGTATGGTGTTACAATTTACACAATTTTGCACATGTGCAATTTACATTAAGATGATTAAGTTAAGTTTTGGTAACACTTTAGTTTAGGTCACAATTCACGGTATTAACAAACCATTAACTACCACTACTAGTTTAACAAACTAATAATTAGCTGTTTTTTAATAGTTTAATAGTAATGTAGAAGTTGGTTTTGGGTAGGATTAGGGATGCAGACTAAGAACATACTATATAATTTCTAATGAACAATAAATATCTTAATAACAGGCAGGAAATAAGCCAGTAGTTAATAGCATTAATCTAAATCAAAGTGTTTAAAAAGTTTGAGTTTTAAGGATCCAAAAATGATAATGTGAATGTACAGTCAAAATGTATGCAAAGTTGTGTAAACGCCTCCATAAATGTAGCTTCAATAACACCAATATCACCGAAAGCTGATTTTTTTTTACTGGAAAAACATACAGATCTAGAAACCCCTGCTTAAAACCATATTTATGAGATTTATTGATTTACTAAAAAACAAACAAACAAACAAACAAACAAACAAACAAACAAACAAACAAACAAAAATAACTGAATGAATTGGAGACTGCTGGCTAAATGTGGCTCATTCCCTGCACATGCACTGATCTTGCCCGTCCTGTCCAGACCTGCCGTCTCATTAACTCATCAACCCCACACACTCATAGCACAACACCACTCACAAAAGGCAGGGCAGACAGGCGTGCAGGTGCCAGGCTTGTGTCAACACAAAGCTATATGCACCGCATAAAGCAATGGGAATGTGGACACTCTGGATGCTGGTAGTGCTTACGTTCCAGAGTGGTCTCAAACCCCCCGCACTGCAGGTTTGTAACACACTGTGAACCATGTGGATCAATGGCTCTACACTTTTCATCTGTAGCAAACGGAGATAGACAGTTACACCTTTCCACTGGATCATTACTATTATCAGTAACATTCTGAGACTGTATGCACTCGCCGGCCACTTTTTTAGGTACACCTATGCTTAAAAACTGTTTTTAAAATTGAATATCTTATTAGCCAGTCACATGGAAGTAACTTAAAGGGTTAGTTCACCCCAAAAATGAAAATTCTGTTATTACTAATTACTAACTGTCATGTTGTTCTAATGCCATGAGATAATGTCAAGATTCATTCATCTTCAGAACACAAATGAAGATATTTTAGAGAAAATCCCAGAGTTCTCATAGACAGCAACGGTTCAGAGATGTTCAAAGTCCAGAAAAGGAACCAAAACATTATCATGTTACTTCAGTAACAGTAACATGTTGACTTCAGTGGTTCAACTATAATCATATGAAGCTCCAAAAACATGATTTGTGTGGCAAAAAAACAAACAAACTGTAAAAACAACTCAGAAGCATTGTTTTGCCCTTACTAAACACACACCAAAGACATTAGCAAACAAGATGTTTTTAAAGCTTTTATTTTGCCTACAAAAGTGGTCTTGGAGCTTTGTGTGTTTGAACCACTAAAGTCAAATGGATTATTTTAACAATATGTTTAGATTTTACAAGGTTTTGTTTTTTTTCCAGACAATTTCTGTCTATGGAGGTTGAGAAAGCTCATCTACAATTTATTTATTTGTGTTTCAGAGATTAAAAAGAAGTCTCAGGGGGTTGAAACGAGAATTAATAACTAAATTCTCTTTTATTGGCTGAACTAAACCTTTAAAGCATTTAAAAGCTTAGATTTGCTTAGAAATTTAGAAAACTTAGAAATTTAAACTAAGCTTTAGAGTGAGGAAGAAAGTGATTTAATTAAACCCTTTGGTACAAGAGTATTTCAGAAACTGCTGACTGATATACTGGGAATTTCATGTACAGACATCTCAAGGGTTTACAGAAAATGATCTGGAAAAAAAATGTCTAGTTAGCAATTCTGTGGGGGAAAAATGTGTTGTTGAATATAGAGGTCAGAAGAGAATGGTTAGACTGGTTGAGATATCTACAGTAAGTGCGGAATTGCAAAGATATACAAGATAGAAGATTTAGGACAGCAAACTTTAAAGCATGTACTGTATACAAATTTCCTTGTATCAATAGTTTAGGCTGCCAATGATGGCATTTCCTGGCATATTTTAGGACCCTTCAAGTTTTTGAATCTCCCTCCAACAGGCCATACCATGTAATGGAAAACAGCCTACAATTTAAGTATCATTTAACTATAATATATATTCAGATGCGAAAACCTCTAAGTGCTGTCTGAAATTTCCATTGAAAATGAAAATTTTTTCTCAGCCTCCTTTGTTTATGTTGAGATATTTCACTTAAAAGACCAGGAAAAGTACTTATTCTTTGCCATAAATGTGATGTTACTGAACATACACACAAGAAACGACATTTAGAGGTTTTTGTATCTAAACTCTTCATTTATGTACTGAATGTTCTATATATATATATATATATATATATATATATATATATATATATATATATATATATATATATATATATATATATAGACTAGCAAAAAATAAAAAAAAACTTAAAATGGCTAATAATTTTGACCTTAAAAAGGTTTTTAATCTTAACTTTTATTCTAGCCAAAATAAAACAATTAAGACTTTCTCCAGAAGAAAAAAACATTATCAGACATACTGTGAAAATGTCCTTGCTCTGTTAAACATCATTTGGAAAATATTTTAAAAAGAAGAAAAAAAAAGATCAAAGGGGGACTGACTTTAATTCTGACTTCAACTACAGTATATATATATATAACTTATAAACTATATATTATTAATAATATAAATATATATTACAAAAATATATAAATATATATATTATATAGGCACACAAAGTTAAGCATGCAGTTTGATAATGAAATGTTTTTTATGGCTGGTGTATAGTGATGCCTTAGTGCCACATTAAAAATGAAAGTGAAATTAATAAAGTAAACAGATTGCCAGAATAAAGTTGAAATATTGCAGAAATAAACTTGCAGTAATATTTTATACATATTTCTCAAATTCGTACATTAAACTTGTACGAATTTGAGAAAAAATCTTCATAGTAATACGAGATTAAACTTGCAGCCTAATATCTTTAGAACTATCACAGAATTGCACAACATGTTTGAATGTTTTTTTTTTCATGAAATGGATATGGAGGATTTGATTATATCCAACTGTATTTAGCAATAAGATAAATTACAATACTGAAAACAATGGACCTTGACCCTGTACTCTGGCACTGCGCTACTACAGAGCCAGGGTCCCTGTGCAGATTCACATAATAAACTACAGTTTTATATCACGACACAAACCGACTGAAGACGGCCTCTTCCTTCTCAAAACTTTAAACCTTGTGACATTAAACTCCTAGTTTTGATCTGTTGATTGTGTTAGTCTGTTACATTGTAATCATATCTATACATTTTAAAATTTAAAAAAATTATTTATTTAATAAAAAAAGCTTTACAGTTTACCGCCAATGTAATTTTTAAATTAGACCACGTCCTGCACCTGTTTATGTTTAACCTGACTGGATAAATTATAGGTCACCTTTTGGATGTTTTTTATTTTATTTTGATTTGACAATGATGGGGACAAGCAGCTAGTTGTAGCTAGTAGTGTTGAAGACCTCTGAACAAAGTACTAGCAAGATATGCCAAATAAAGTAGCCGGTGAGTGTATATTTACTGTCTATGACACAATCTTAACCATTAATAAGTACATACTAAAAAAACAGTATTTGCCATAATTCATTTCTTGATTCCTTGCCCTAAGTGAGCTTTCTGTGCTGCGTTAGTGTGTTAGTTAAACACATTTTTAGATTTTTAGATGAAGGTATGACAGAAAAAGAGTAACAGAAAAGGAGAGGTCCCACCTTCAGATCTAAATATTCCAGGTCCTTCTTCAAGTGCATGTATGTATCATCAGCCTGTAAGCAGTAGGAGACAGATTTCAGTGGTAACTCTTTATTAGACATCAGTCTAAAACATTGCGTAAGCATTAAAGCAATAGTTATGCACTTGATATACCAGATCCAGTATGTTGTCTTGATATTACAGACTCTCTTTGTTGCATGCTGTTTCCATGCAATAATTGCTGTTTAAAAAAATAGTTAGGGGTGAGCAAGATGTATTTCAAAATGTTATAAAAGTCTCTTAAAAATAAGGTAAAAACAGCCATATTGGACTGTAATGACTTAAATTCATAATTAGGCTGGCTTGTCAAAGCCAGACTACTGAAATGCTATTTAAACTTATTAGGCTGGCTTGTCAAAGCCAGACTACTGAAATGCTATTTAAACTTATTATTATTTTTATTTTTTTTTTTATTAATCTTCTGAGACTAAATTTCTAACTCTATCTCCTCCTAGAGCTTTTGAGCTATTACCACCAAACTTGCTCCAGACCTCCAAACTATTCTGACTCGTGTTGCTATATCTCCTCAGACTGATCCGACTTTCGGTTTTCCGAAAAACGTCCCGGGACTGTCGGAAAAATCCCATAGGCTTAACATTGGATCAAACTTTGTGAGCTCATAACTCTGCGTCAGACTGTCACACAGACTTCTAACTGGGCTCATTTAACTCAAACTATCAAACTGCCAATGACTGATCACCTTTAAACTTTCTAGCCACGCCCTAGCAACCACTTTTGGACCCTAGTAACTGTCCCATAGACTTCTATTCAAAAGACTCTCATTGACTTAAAATGGGATCAAACTTTATGAGCTCATAACTCTGCATCAGACTGTGCTACAGACTAATGGCTGAGCTCATTTAACTCCGACTACCAAACTGCCAATAACTGATGAGCTTTTAACTTTCTAGCCACTCCCCTAACTACCACATACTGCACCCTAGCAACTGTCCCGTAGACTTCCATTCAAAAGACTCTCATTGACTTAACATGGGATCAAACTTTGTGAGCTCATAACTCTACATCAGACTGTCATACAGACTAATGGCTGAGCTCATTTAACTCAGACTACCAACCTGCCAATAACTGATGAGCTTTTAACTTTCTAGCCACACCCCTAACTACCACATACTTCACCCTAGCAACTGTCCCGTAGACTTCCATTACAAAAGACTCTCATTGACTTAACATGGGATCAAACTTTTTGAGCTCTTAACTCTGCATCTGACTGTCATACAGACTAATGGCTGAGCTCATTTAACTCAGACTACCAAACTGCCAATAACTGATGAGCTTTTAACTTTCTAGCCACACCCCTAACTACCACATACTGCACCCTAGCAACTGTCCTATAGAATGTAATTAGGTGTGCTATCGAATGCTTATAATTCTAACATGCTAATGACATGCCAATCATGCTAGCAACATGCTACTCATATGCTAATCATGCTAATGACATGCTAACTCATACTGGAAACATGCTAATGACATGCTAATTTGTACAAGAATCATGCTAGTAACATGCTAATTCATACTAGACTCATGTTAATAACTGGCCTACATGCATATCTTTGCTTAGCAGTGTCCTATTGACTTGGGGGATGGCTCATCTGACTCAGACAACCAATGAGCATCTCAATATGATAATGAAGCTCACAAGCCACGCCCCCAAATTGATTCCATAGACTTCCATTAAAATAGGCCAAGATGCATATCTTTGCATAGCAGTGTCATAGAGACATGGGGGTTGGTTCATTTGACTTAGACAGCCAACCACATTCAAGTGCACTCTGTAACCTCGCCCATAACAACAAAACAGAGTACCCTAGCAACCATTCATCAACAGCTATATCTCAGCATCAGAACATCGTAGAGACTTGGAGATTGGCTCGTTTGACTCATGCTAGCAAACGGAACTTCCTAAATGCTACACATGCTAGCAGTGATTAGCTACATGCTAATATTGACTAGCCAAGTACTGTAACTTGCTAGAAATGCTTACTAAGTATAAATGTTTTATCAAGCATGTATGTAAGGCTTGCCTAGTAACCAACCAGGGTACCCTAGCAACTGCCTAGCAACCACCCAAATTACCCTAGCAACCGCCTAGCAACCACCTAGCAACTGCCTAGTAATGCCTTAGTAAGGGCTTAGCGACCACTCAGGACACCCTAGCAACGGCCTAGCAACGCCTTAGCAACCACTCAGAATACCCTAGCAACCACATAGCAACACCTTAGCAACCACTTGGGACACCTTATCAACCGCCTAGCAACACCTTAGCAACCACCTAGCAACCAGTCAGAACACCCTAGCAACCACCTAGCAACGCCTTAGCAACCACCAAGCAACCACTCAGGACACCATAGCAACCACCTAGCAACACCTTAGCAACCACCTAGCAACCACTCAGGACACCCTAGCAACCGCCTAGCAACGCCATAGCAACCACTCAGAACACCCTAGCAACCACCTAGCAACACCTTAGCAACCACCTAGCAACCACTTAGGACTCCTTAGCAACCACCTAGCAACACCTTAGCAACCACCTAGCAACCACTCAGAACACCCTAGCAACCACCTAGCAACACCTTAGCAACAACCTAGCAACCACTTAGAACACCCTAGCAACCGCCTAGCAACACCTTAGCAACCACTCGGAACACCCTAGCAACTACCTAGCAAGACCTTAGCAACCACCTAGCAACCAATCAGAGCACCCTAGCAACTGCCTAGCAACAACCTAGCAACCACTCAGAACACCATAGCAACCACCTAGCAACACCCTAGCAACATCTTAGCAGCCACCTAGCAACCACTCAGGACACCCTAGCAACTGCGTAGCAACGACTTAGCAACCACTCAGAATACCCTAGCAACCACCTAAGCATGCTATGTGACATGCTAATTCATACTAGAATCATGCTAGTAACATGCTAATTCATACTACAATCATGCTAATAACATGCTAATTCATACTAGAAACATGCTAATAACATGCTAATTCATACTAGAATCATGCTAGTAACATGCTAATGCATGCTAGAATCTTGCTAATAACAGGCTAATTCACGCTAGATTCATGCTAGTAACATGCTAATTCATACTATAATCATGCTAATAACATGCTAATTCATGCTAGAATCATGCGAGTAACATGCTAATTCATGCTAGAATCATTCTAGTAACATGCTAATTCATACTAGAATCATGCTAATTCATGCTAGAATCATGCTAGTAACCTGCTAATTCATACTAGAATCATGCTAGTAACAGGCTAATTCATACTAGAATCATGCTAGTAACATGCTAATGCATGCTAGAATCATGCTAGTAACATGCTAATTCATGCTAGAATCATACTAGTAACATGCTAATTCATGCTAGAATCATGCTAGTAACATGCTAATTCATGCTAGAATCATTCTAGTAGCATGCTAATTCATACTAGAATCATGCTAATGACATGCTAATTTATTCTAGAATCATGCTAGTAACATGCTAATTCATGCTAAAAGCATGTTAATAACATGCTAATTTATACTAGAATCATGCTAATAAAATGCTAATTTGTACTACACTCATGCTAATAACATGCTAATCCATGGTAGTATCATGCTAATTCATGCTAGAATCATGCTAATAACATGCTACTTATACTTTTTCAAACTGTTTTTAAACTAAATAAACTATTACCAACAGGCTTTGTCAAGCCAGCCTCAAAGTTTGTCTCGACGAACTTTACTGTCTAGTTATTATTATTTTTTTTTTTTTTATTAATCTTCTGAGACTAAATTTCTAACTCTATCTCCTCCTAGAGCTTTTGAGCTATTACCACCAAACTTGCTCCAGACCTCCAAACTATTCTGACTCGTGTTGCTATATCTCCTCAGACTGATCCGACTTTCGGTTTTCCGAAAAATGTCCCGGGACTGTCGGAAAAATCCCATAGGCTTAACATTGGATCAAACTTTGTGAGCTCATAACTCTGCGTCAGACTGTCACACATACTTCTAACTGGGCTCATTTAACTCAGACTATCAAACTGCCAATGACTGATCACCTTTAAACTTTCTAGCCACGCCCTAGCAACCACCTTTGGACCCTAGTAACTGTCCCATAGACTTCTATTCAAAAGACTCTCATTGACTTAACATGGGATCAAACTTTGTGAGCTCATAACTCTGCATCAGACTGTCATAGAGACTAATGGCTGAGCTCATTTAACTCCGACTACCAATCTGCCATTAACTGATGAGCTTTTAACTTTCTAGCCACTCCCCTAACTACCACATACTGCACCCTAGCAACTGTCCCGTAGACTTCCATTCAAAAGACTATCATTGACTTAACATGGGATCAAACTTTGTGAGCTCATAACTCTGCATCAGACTGTCATAGAGACTAATGGCTGAGCTCATTTAACTCAGACTACCAAACTGCCAATAACTGATGAGCTTTCAACTTTCTAGCCACACCCCTAACTACCACATACTGCACCCTAGCAACTGTCCCGTAGACTTCCATTACAAAAGACTCTCATTGACTTTACATGGGATCAAACTTTGTGAGCTCATAACTCAGCATCAGACTGTCATACAGACTAATGGCTGAGCTCATTTAACTGAGTCTAGCCAGCAGCCAATCACTGATGGCCTTTTAACTTTCTAGCCACACCCCTAACTACCACATACTGCACCCTAGCAACTGTCCTATAGACTGTAATTAGCTGTGCTATTAAATGCTTATAATTCTAACATGCTAATGACATGCCAATCATGCTAGCAACATGCTACTCATATGCTAATCATGCTAATGACATGCTAACTCATACTGGAAACATGCTAATGATATGCTAATTTGTACTAGAATCATGCTAGTAACATGCTAATTCATACTAGACTCATGTTAATAACTGGCCTACATGCATATCTTTGCTTAGCAGTGTCCTATTGACTTGGGGGATGGCTCATCTGACTCAGACAACCAATGAGCATCTCAATATGATAATGAA